ACGGTGGAGAAAGAGACCCGGATTATCCAGGGCATACTGCCTTCCCCAGGGCTCCTTTTAGTCGGCTGGTCAGGCTGGACCCCCCATAATTTTGAGCGCATGGATTGTGAGGGTTAAAGCAGGGCCATGTCAATAGCATGGGCCAAGATGACCTTGCAAGAAGGAAAAACACCGGTTTGTAATGAAAACGGTGGAGGTGACTGGGTTTTGATATTTCTCCGGACGGCGCCCTAGTCTCGCGAAAAAAACCATTTTAACCTGGTAATTCGTTTCAGTAAAGTGAAACAGTTGGCCGTACTGTTGTCAGCCTTTTGGTGAGATCCCGCTGCCTCCGCCGTCCTTGTGAACCCTCAGAAATCCTTCAACGCGACTGCCCATGTTGGACCATTACATGTCAGGCTGAGGCTACATGTTTTCAGGTGCGGTCTACTTTCTTTTGATGGTTCTCTGGTGAGGTCAAACATGTTGTGCACTTAATTCGTTGGAACTTGAACAGCCGTTTATGCCCATGTGGCTTGATCGACTACGGTCCCGTTTTGGGAGTAACGCACGATTACTTAGGAGTGAACTGAATCCGCTCAAACTGTTGATACAATTCGAATCCAGTCGTATTATAATGTTCCCCTGGTAGAGCTCTATTCCATCATGGCCTACACCGCCACATACGAGTCCTACGGCACCGACTACATGGACAACATCTCACGTGATACCAACTCCACACAATACTCTCCCACATTCAGCACCGATTCACGGACCAACACCCACTACCCCAACACCTACACCTATGTCGCTAACCGGACCTACCGAGCATTTTTCGGTCAACCTTCAGCACTTCAAGTTCACGCATCACTCGACGTCCCTGGTATCAACTCATACACCCCAAGCTCACGCACCATCACAACCACTTCCTGCACATCACGGACCAATCTCGCACCATCCAAACCCGTTACCAGCCACACTGCTGACTACTGGCGCGCCTTTTTCAACATTCCCACACGCCACTTCGAAAACCCTCATCATCCTGGACACATCAACTACACGTTCCACCCACCCGCATCGACTATTCCACCTGCTTCTACGGCAACAACCACACCCTCCTCAATGTGGTCTATGATGTGGTCTAAAATGTGGTCTATGATGTGGTCTATGTGGTCTATGTGGCCTATGTGGTCTATGTGGTCTATGTGGTCTATGTGGTCTATGTGGTCTATGATGTCTATGTGGTCTATGATGTCTATGTGGTCTATGTGGTCTATGTGGTCTATGTGGTCTATGATGTCTATGTGGTCTATGATGTCTATGTGGTCTGTGATGTGGTCTATGATGTGGTCTATGATGTGGTCTATATGATGTGGTCTATGATGTGGTCTATGATTTTGGTCTATGATTTGGTCTATGATGTGGTCTATGATGTGGCCTATGTGGTCTATGTGCTCTACGTGGTCTACGTGGTCTACGTGGTCTATGTGGTCTTTGATGTGGTCTATGATGTGGTCTATGATGTGGTCTATGATGTGGTCTACGATGTGGTCTATGATGTGGTCTACGTGGTCTATGTGGTGGTCTACGTGGTCTATGTGGTCTATGTGGATGATGTGGTCTTATGTGGTCTATGTGGTCTATGTGGTCTTATGTGGTCTATGTGGTCTATGTGGTCTATGTGGTCTATGTGGTCTATGGGGTCTATGTGGTCTATGTGGTCTATGTGGTCTATGTGGTCTATGTGGTCTATGTGTTGTATTTGGTCTGTGATGTGGTCTATGTGGTCTATGTGGTCTTCAACACCTACGGTCGCCACATTGGCCGCTGAGCTCCAAGAACAATTGTTTAGCCAAACTCCATCGGGCCCAACTCCAACACCGACCGCCTCCATCTTTACCCAGCAGATGCCAATCGATCCACTTCAAGCACTTGTGCGAGCCTTGCAGACATTGGCCTCGTCGAGCCCTTCTGAACCGACTGAGCCATCCGCTACTATAGTGTCCGTTTACTGATAAGTAACAGTATAACCCATGGTTTTAAGTGAACTTAAAAGTCATAACTTTCATCATAACTTTTTATAACTTTTCAAAACGCCATAAAAACTTGAAATGTGAACTTTGCTTTTTTGTTGTTTTCATAACTTTTTGTGATCACTTTTTAAATGTAATAATTACAAAAGTATCGGTTTTGCAGCTTTGGATCATGAAACGACCTGCCGACGCAATGGAGCCGCCTTTGCCTACGAGGCACGTTTTGCTTAAGTCGGAATGTGAAGTTTTTGTAGGAAAGCGGTCTTGACCGCTATAACGGGAAAGCATTTCTGACCGCTATAAATGGATATCTGCCTCTCGATCGCTTTTTTGCGCTGATAGGCTATCGCGACCTCTCGATCGCATCTCTTTTGTGATCTTCAAGCCGGAATGGATCTTGGAGGATGGCCAGCTGAAATGGAAAAATCATTGTGTCAACGGCAAGGTTCGCATGTGCCTGGTCATATTAGCTACATTTCTGTTTGTGGAGTTGGTGGTATTATTTTTCAGCTGGTTTCAACATGTGCGCTCATGGATCTGTCTTGAGGCGGGCTTTTGAGGAAATCTCTCCTTCATGGCCGTGCAATGATGACGAAGTGGAAATGATTACGGCACATCTTTTGCAGAAACTGCAAGAGTAGATCAGGCTATAAAAAGCCAGCGCAGCAAAACACGTGGGGAAACATTATCACAGCATAGCGGTGTGACCGCTGAGCGGTTGTAACCGCTGAAAGCATGAGCTGTATTTTTTGTTAGCGGTGTGCCCGCTTCATGGAAATGTTTTTTTATAGGAAACAGCGGTCATAACCGCTTGGTTTATTGAAGTACAGTTTTCCATATAGGGTGGGAGTTGGTTTCAACTTGCACAGTGTGGCCTTGTTTTTCTCAAGTGGAAGGCATATAGACAATGGCTTCTCAATTTGTGAGATCCTTGGAAGCAACTGACCTATTTCTGGGTCAGATTGTAAGTTGCCTAGTTGCAAGCAGGTAGAAGACCAAAGGGTCAAGGTCAAGGTGCTTTTTTTTAGGCATCGTGGGTAAGAAAAGCCCTTGGGATGCAGAAGCTGCTGCCGTGGCATGTCAAAGCATCAATGGGTGCAAGCATCTTAGCAAAGCTTCCAAGTTCCAAGAATGCCTTGCTGAAAGAAGTTACTTTAGAACTTGGAGAAGGAGAAGCATGTGAGTCTACTTCGAGTGAATCCAAGAGAACAAAACTCCAAGACTACACGAATGTGGTGCACCTGATCCCCAAACACTTGTGGGACAGGTTGATGGATACCTACTCGAACCTGGACACCAACATGATGATGTTGTGCCACCACTGCCACCTTTTAGGCCTTTGTCACGCGAGTGAGAAGACTTACTCGACGTTGACCGTTGACATGTTTGCTTTTTTGGAGCCGTTGGGAAGATTCAATGCCTGATGGGAACATCAAGAATCGGGTCTTGAACATCTCCAAGCCGGTGCTGAAGCAGTATTTGCAGCAGTATCAGGAGCAAGAACCATGTGCTGCATCTCAAATGTTGCAAACTTTGCCCTCCAAGATGAACAATCTTCCAAAACAACTTCGAATGACGTTTGAGAAGATGGAATTTGTGCGCCTGGATCACAGATTGATGGCTACTCCTGCAGCCATGCCGACCAGGGTGACCAAAAGGAGTGTTACCATGAAGTTTGGAATTTTACAAGATTTGTCTTTGAGAGATGCCGTGGTGTTGTGCCCTCGAAATCATGGTCCTGAGAGCATTCAGGATGCCAAGGCTGATGGCCGCCTTGAGATGCTTGCTTTGGCTGATGCAGATCCGGATTCTGCTGCTGATGCGTTGATCGTAAAACCCAAGCTGAAAGCTTCAGATGCTCGGACGGTTTTGGGATTTGTTTTGATTTGATACTCTTTCCAGTAAATGGGACAGAAGAATCATGTATACTCATTATATGCTACTTGTATTATACAGTACAGATTGTTTTTCATATATCCATCAATACTTTACATATAGATACTTTTATGACACCTCATACCCCCTTAGTTATACACACCCATCATTGACTCACTTTGTTTTTGGACTTGCAGGGTCAGAAGAGCAAGGTTCCAGAAGTTGCCAGTGTCCTGGACGATTTGAAGAAGAAGTTGGCCGATCGCAAGAACGGCATCACTGAGGAAAAGCCTGAGAAAGATGCAGTTCCTCAAAGAAAGGCCAAAGACAAAAAAGAAACCAGTTCCCGAGGTCATCCCTGCGCCACCTCTGAAGCGCAGCATCCAGGAAGTTGTCAAATGTGAGGAAGCCAAGAAGCCAGCTTCAGTCCAGAAGAAGCCGGCCCAAACTAAAAAAAGTCTGCCTTCCAAAGTCAAGACGCCACATGTGCCTAAGAAGCAGGAACCCAGACCCATTCCTGCCTGGTGGAATGACAAGCAAGAGCTTTTGAAATCATTTCCAGAGGACACCGACAAGCGCTTTGCCTCAAGGTGCTACCACTTTGTGAAGAAGAATGAGATGCGCAAAGGTGTTTCTAAGGACCTGGCTACCTTGATTGCTCAAAGGGCTCACCAAGAAGCCAAAGATCGTTGGCTGAAGTTGTTTCCCAACGCATAGAAAAACCTATGCATGTTGGATGAATCTTGGGAGAAATTCGATGTTGAACATTGATGGATGCTCGGTGTTGTCTTTGACATTTGACGCTGCTGCTGCCCTCAGTGACGTTGAAAAAAGGAATTCGCTGAGCACTCTGAATGGGGGAGCGGTGCAAACCGCTTTGGGGGTATAAGAGCGGTGTGTCCGCTTTGTTCACTGTCAATGGGAAATAGTTTCGAGGTGCAGCTATGAGGCACTGCTACTGATGTGGTAGCTTCTTCCTGTCTTGGATAAGTGAGAAGTGGTTATAGCGGTGTTGCCGCTGTTATTGTTCAACATGGTGATGAAACCTCTTTCCTAGACATTTGGTCTCAAGGTCAGCGCTGTAGCAGTAGCAGGTCGAGCCGCTCGGTGACAATGGCCACTGTGGACAACCAACTTCGAGACACGCAGCTGTATCCTGATCAACCTGGTGCCGGTGAGTGCACACCACGCAAGAAGGAAGCAGTGGATCAGGATGCTGTGCCAGAGACAGTTGAAGTTAAAGACAGCCAAGACGGCTTGCCCCCTGCAGAAGCCGCTGAAGGTGGAGGTGAAGAGCAGCCTGATCAGGAAGCGGAGGAACCCGCTGAGGAAGTGCAACCTGCTGAGGAAGCGGCGCCATCCGCTCCAAGTGCAGCCTCAGGACTGGCAGGCCAGGAGCCCATGCCTGTTGAGCAGTTTGACTGGTCCACTTTGAAGAAGCTACCAGCCAACTACTGTGGAAGTTGCCGAATGCCAGTCGAAGCAGATCCCACCAAGAGGGTCACCAAGAAAGGGCATGCAACGCTGAGTTGCAAGACGTGCCACAACGTCACGTCGATGCTTTACAAGCGCATCAACATGCAGACCGTGGGCTTCAAGGACATTCCACCTGCACAGGCATGGGTTTTGCAAAATGCCTTCGCAAAAGTTTCTGTGTTTCAAAAAGGCCACAAGTGGTTTGAAACCAAGGGGTTTAAGACCGCTATAGATTAATGACTTAGTGTGCTTTTCACTTTTCACCATGCAGGCCGCTGACTTCTTTCAGAAAGCTGGCCAGCTCTGTGAGAAGTACGGCAGACTGGAATGGTCCCACGTCAAGGGACTGTTGCAGGACAAGCTGGTGGAGCAGGAGATGCTCAAGCAGACTGTTGCTGTGCATGGCAAATTTCTGCCGTTGTCTGTTTGGGAGCAGAAGGGCTTCGACACCGAGCGCATTAAGCAGAATGCCGAGAAGCAGAGAAGTGACATCTTCGATTGGGTTTATCGTGTGCCCATCCTCGAGATCAGCCACGAGAAAGTCACTGAAAAGGTTCGTCAGCGCTTGCTGCAAGCTGAGCGCAAGGTGGGAAAGCGAAAAGCCAGCCAGCAGATGGAAGACGAAGACGTGGTGGACTTGGAGGTTGACACGAAGGACTGGGAGGGACTCCATCTCCTCAGGTGCTGGTGCTGGTGGGTCCAAATCGAAGCCCAGAAAGGCATGTGCACCCAAGGCAAAGAGCAAGACGAAGAAGGTGCCCCAGGAAAAGAAGGATGAAGCCAAGAAGGCCAATGCGGTGTCCTTGGAAATGCCAGGAAGACTATCAGGTTGTTGGATCCTGTGGCCAAAGAAGCCAAAAAGGCTTGCAAGGACGTGACTGCACGGATGATCTCGAGGCGGAGACGGAAGGGTTTCTGAAAGTGTTGAAGGAGGCAACGCAGTTCTACATCGATACTTTGTGTCAGAAGTCGACAAATTTTACTGACTTGTTGAGGCGAACAGTGTTGAAAGACCATGCCAATCAAGAAGCCATCCCCGGATGCCTTTACGCAGATGAGGCAGTCGTTGGTAACGTACTTGCACCAGACAACAGAAGACGCTCATGGTGCTTTTATTTTTGTTGGATGTCGATTTTACCGATGAGGAAAGATACACTTTGGCTTCCAATCTCTGTTATCAGAACTGATATTATTGAGCAGTTGCCTGGAGGACTTCCACAAGCACTGAGCATTGTGATGCGGCAGTGCCAACAGTTTTTGTCTGACGGAATCATCGTAGATGGGCAGATTAAAAAGCACTGTGTGCTGAAAGAAACAAATGGAACAAAAAGCACTGTGTGCTGAATGAAACAAATGGAACAAAAAGCACTGCGTGCTGATTTGGTGAATGTGAAAAAAACAATGGGTGCTGGAGCAAATTTCAACACTGCAGTTTATGGTTTCTGATGCTTGGAAACTAAGTTCCAAGCCACTTGGTCTGGTGGACCAGCCTTTGCTGGTTGAGCTGGTGCTGCAGGGTTAGGTGGAGCCTGAAAGAGAAATTGAAGCATAGTTGACAGTCATTTGGCTGCGTTGACCATGCCTCATCATCTCTTGGTGGTGGCTCCTGCCAAACAAAATGCATTGCATATATGTAACCCAGAATGCAATGCACATGCCATGGCTGTCCTCCATGGCACAGTTTTTGTGCACAGCTTGGCACTGCAAGCCAAAAAAATGCAGCATGGTTGACATATGTGATTTGGAACACATGTTTGAAGCATTGTGGTGCTGAGAACGAATTTAAGCACTGTGTGCTGAACCACATGGACATGAAACTGGCAACTGAAAATGCTGTGAAGACAAATTGGTCTGGCTATCTAACAAAAGGTGGCACATTTTCAACCATGGCAGAAATTTGCAATGGCATCATACTGTGGCATGGCATGGCTCAAATTCAAAGTCTTCTGGCATGCCATGCATGTTGTACACATGTGAACATTTGGAAAGCATTGGTTGCTTTGGAAGCACCAATGCCATTGGAGCAACATACAGCTGAACCAACTGAAGCTGCATTGTCTGCTAAGTACACATGTGAGCTTTTTTAAAGCATTATCTGTTTTGGAAGCACCAAGTGCTAGCTGCTGCCATTGGAGCAACATGCAGCTGAACTTTAACTGAAGCTTTTGAGAAGCACTGTCTGCTAAGTACACATGCATGCGAGCATTTGGAAAGCATTGGCTGTTTTGGAAGCACTGTGTGTTAAGTCTATAAAGAAACAAAATGGGAAAATGTTTCAATGGAAGCACTATGTGCTGAATGCATGCACATGCCTTTGCACAGGTCACGGGTTTATTGGGTAACTAAAACGTTTTATTGGATAACCAAAACGTTTTATTGAGTAACTAAAACATTTGATTCGGTAACCAAGACGTGTTATTGGGTAACCATGTTATTTGGTAACTAAAACGTGTTATTTGGAAACAATCAAACGTAGATTCGGTAACTAAAAGGTATTATTTAGTAACCATGTGAATTGATAACTACGAACTCTGATTTGGGAACTAAGACGTCTTATTTGGAAACCATACTCTTTGGTAACTATAACGTGTTATTTGGAAACTATGAAACATTGATTCAGTAACTAAAAACAGTTATTCGGTAAAACCATGTTATCTGCAAAATGACATGTCTATGTGGGCAACCAAATCGAACGTGTTCGATGGAAACGACGATAGTCTCGAATGAATCCACAGCTATCCGCGTGCTTTTTTTTCTTTGGACACTCTTGCATGCAGGGTTTTGGGGGGGGATGTTCAAAACATGCCTTGGAATGGTGACACGAAGTCTTGGAGAGGTGAAGCTGTGAAGTTGAGGCATACTCTTGCATGCAGGGTTTTGGGTGGGGAGGTTTAAAAAATGACTTGGAATCGTGACAAGAACTCTTGGAAGGGGGGAGTCTGTGAAGTTGAGGCATAGTCTTGCATGTAGGGTTTTGGGGGCGAGGTTTAAAAAATGACTTTGAATCTAACAAGAAGTCTTGGATAGGGGAGGCTGTGAAGTTGAGGAATACTCTTGCATGTAAGGTTTTGGGGGGGAAGTTTAGAAAATGACTTGGAATCGTGACAAGAAGTCTTGGAGAGGTGAAGCTGTGAGGTTGAGGCATACTCTTGCATGTGGGGTTTTAAGGGGGAGGTTTTAAAAATGACTTGGAATCGTGACAAGAAGGCTTGGAGAGGTGAAGCTGTGAAGTTGAGGCATACTCTTGCATGTAAGGTTTTGGGGGGGGAGGTTTAAAAAATGGTTTGGAATCGTGACAAGAAGTCTTGGAGAGGGGAGGCTGTGAAGTTGAGGAATACTCTTGCATGTAGGGTTTTGGGGGGGAGGTTTAGAAAATGACTTGGAATCGTGGAATCGTGACAAGAAGGCTTGGAGAGGTGAAGCTGTGAAGTTGAGGAATACTCTTGCATGTAGGGTTTTGGGTGGGGAGGTTTAAAAAAAGACTAGGACTCGTGACAAGAAGGCTTGGAGAGGTGAAGCTGTGAAGTTGAGGCATTCTCTTGCATGTAAGGTTTTGGGGGGGGTTTAGAAGATGACTTGGATTCTAACACAAGAAGTCGTGGAGAGGGGAGGCTTTGAAGTTGAGGCATACTCTTGCATGTAAAGTTTTTTGGGGGGAAGTTTAAAAAATGACTTGGAATCGTGACAAGAACTCTTGGAGGGGGGAGTCTGTGAAGTTGAGGCATACTCTTGCATGTATGGTTTTGGGGGGGAGGTTTAGAAAATGGCTTAGAAGCTAACAAGAAGTCTTGGAGAGGGGAGGCTGTGAAGTTGAGGAATACTCTTGCATGTAGGGTTTTGGGGGGGGAGGTTTAGAAAATGATTTGGAATCGTGACAAGAAGTCTTGGAGAGGTGAAGCTGTGAGGTTGAGGCATACTCTTGCTCAAGAAGTCGTGATATTCAAATAAGTATAGTTGCCCGAGGCGATTCCTAATTCTTAAATGGAATTTGCCAAGGTGTAAATCATGCTTGCCGAATCGGTCAGGTCTGGTTTCCTCAATTAGTCACCAAGTCCGAGAGTTTTAGTTACCAAGCATCTGAGAAATGTAGTTACCAAATCGGAGAATGGTAGTTACCAAATCGGGGAATTTCAGTTCCCAAAACATAGTTATCAAATCGGAGATTCTTAGTTATCAAATCGCGGAGATTTGGTTTCCAAACCGGGGATTTGTAGTTTCGGAATCATAGTTTCCAAATCGGGGAAACGCAGTTACTGAAGCAGAGATTGTTAGTTTCCCAACCGTAGTTCCCAAAGCGTAGTTTCCAAATCGTAGTTTCCAAATCGCCGATAGTTATCCAATCGGTCTTCCATCCCTTTGCACATGAATAAATGCCTGGCTTTGCAACATGGAAAACATGTTTCTGCTGCACACAAAAAGCAGTAGCAAGAAACTTTTTTCTTCTGGAATGCTGTGCTGCAAGATGATGTTGCCAGGACAATCACAAGGAAAACAAAAAACACAACGCAACAACCAAAGGCTAAATGAGCTAAGTTGGCTAAGATCTTAGCCCACTTATCAATCTTAGGTTAAATTTTAGCTAAGGTTGTTAAATTGGCTAAAAGCTAACAGGTATTTAACAATAGTTAAGTAATGAGTTAACAACATACAAGCTTTGCTGTAACATACATCTAGCTAAGATGGATAAAGCTCTTAAACCACTTGCAAGGAAGGGTCCTTCTCAAGTATGACGAGAAATCCTCCTGTGCCTTGTCCTGGTGTCTCCAGGGCTGCATCGGATGCTGCCAGGAAGCGAAATCCTGTGTGTGGTGACACCCTACCCTAAGTCTCCAAAGCTAGTAATTTTACTAATTTAACAATTTTACCAACCCAGAAGATTTTACGTAATTTTTGGTTGATTTTTGCAAAATTAGTAAAATGTAAAAAAAGGAAAAAGTGCATCAAAAGTGCATCAGGAATGCGCCGAAAGATGTGTGATAGCTTTTCGAAATTCCTTGAATTTGATATAATTTGATACAAGAGGCAGAAGGAATGTCCAAAAATGGTTGAGGAATGTGAAGCAATTAGCATGTGGAACCTGTATAAGGATATGTCCTTTGCTGCAAAATGTAAATATTATAGAAGAAAGATAGAAATTGTCTCAGTGACTTTTCAAGTAAAAGTATATTAGGTAACTAGCAGATAGAATATTCAAAATTTCATTGATTTGAAAATAACACATAGAATAGTGCAAAATTTATAGCTGGGTAAATTCACACATAGAATTATCCAAGACCTAAAATATTTAATTTTAGGGAAATCAACTTTAAAAGCATCATTTTTCCTGTGTTCTACCAGTGTTTTCAACAGATAGAATAATCCCCGACCCCGCAACATCTCCACAATTCCCAAGCAGCAGCCAACAATGCTGTGCTGGCACACTGCAGCAACTCAGTTCCTTTTGTTTTTTTTCCATGCGTTCATTGTAGTCGTCACATTTCATTCAAACATTCATCCTTTGTTGATGCACAAATCGAATTTGTAAAGTATTGTCAACTTCAATCACATGCCTCCTTCATCGTTCGAACTTGACAATGTTTGCACACTTCAATCACACATAGATCATAGCTCTGACAATCTCGAATTTCCAAGACAATTCTTGGTCAAGTGAACCTGACAGGGATTTATTGCAATCTCGAAACTATATATATATATACTTCATGCATCTAAACATTGTGAACATGTTTAGTGAAGAAACATATTTGATTATACCTAGCCTTGCTCTTCTGTCCTGGAAGCAAATATACTTCTTTCACTTCCGTCATATTTAGATCCTTTGCCACTTGCTTTCCCAGCGTAGATAAAGTTTGCGAATTGAATGGCTGAGCCGTTGTATCCTTTGTAACACTTAATCGTCAAGTTCCAAGCCAGAACCAATGGAAAAGGGCCACGATGTCACGCATGATGCATATGATAAGGTATACCACAGCGCAATTGAACATCGCATCAGTTGTTTCCATCATTGCCGGTCCCACAAAGAAAATGATATGCTAGGTACTGGGCCAGAAAATGCTGCATATGCACCGGTTAATGATATACTATATAATATATACATATATATATATATACACTATGTGTGTATATATGAGTGAACGGCGTACTCACAAAATCTTCAGAATATAAAAACCTGATATGCCGATTACTCTTCGAATTATTCTATCTGTTGTTTTCACATCATTCTATGCAATAAAAATAAAAACAATCATACTATAAATTGTAAATAGAAACTCTACATATGCCGAATAATATCTAAACTTCGTTTTAAAAAACTTACGGCATATAAATTAATATAAATATATATATATATATATCTACAGTATATATATTCCAAAAAGTTTGAACCTAGATTATTCCTATGCATTAGCCAACAATGATGGTATACCTAGTCCCAACGGCCCCAAGCAGTAGCCAACAATGCTGGCACACCGCATCCTTAGCCCCAACGGCCCCAAGCAGTAGCCAGCGATGCTGGCACGCCGCGTCCTTAGTCCCAACGGCCCCAAGCAGTAGCCAGCAATGCTGGCACACCGCAGCCCTAGTCCCAAAAGACACCAAGCAGTAGCCAGCAATGCTGGCACACCGCAGCCCTAGTCCCAAAAGACACCAAGCAGTAGCCAGCAATGCTGGCACACCGCAGCACTAGTCCCAAAAGACCCCAAGCAGTAGCCAGCAATGCTGGCACACCGCAGCACTAGTCCCAAAAGACTCCACGCAGTAGCCAGCGATGCTGGCACACCCGCGTCCTTAGTCACAACGGCCCCAAGCAGTAGCCAGCAATGCTGGCACACCGCAGCACTAGTCCCAAAAGACCCCAAGCAGTAGCCAGCAATGCTGGCACACCGCAGCACTAGTCCCAAAAGACCCCACGCAGTAGCCAGCAATGCTGGCACACGGCAGCCCTAGTTCGTAAGCATATGCGCTCTTTTTTACCTGGTGGTTTTCGGACGATCAGAGTCCCTAACATCTGTCAACTTCCTTGCTGTTGGAAGATAATCAGAGTCTCTAACATCTTTCTTAATCTCCCAAGTTTTTGGAAGATTATAACATCTCTAACATCTGCCGAACTCTTCAGTAGTGCGACCGTGTCTGTTTTGTTCTTCTTGATCTTTTTGTCCTTCTTCACCTTGCGGTCCTTCTTGTGTTTCCTTTCTGATTTGGATTTAACCATATCCTTCACGTTCGTGTCAGAAGTCATTGCTCCTGCACATGTTGTAGAGCAAAGTTTCACTTAGGAGTATGCACCACATTCACTATATATATAAAAGTATATATATATATATGTATTCCTGTAGATTCAACATCGTATAAAAAAAACTACATAAATGCATGCTATTTGAACAGTAAGTTATTGCAAAGAACCCTGACCCTAGTCCTTTTTCATTGCCATCCTCGTGCTCAGCCTTCACAGTTTTCAGTTCTTCTGCAACTGGTTTTGAGGAAGACGACACATTGTCATCATTTTCCATATATTTGGTCTCCATGTTATCTCCTGCAGATGGCTTGATTTTGGTTATATTTCACATGTTTAGACATGTTTGATTGCTTCAAACTTCAACAAATAATTTATATATTCACATGTATACTATATATATATGTATGCATGTGTAGTTTTAGTTCATCCAGAAACATATATGCATGTGTAGTTTTAGTTCATCCAGAAACATCAGTCCTTCTTGTGAAGCAGCAGTATCAGTGTCCTTTGCGTCCACTGTGACGTCATTCTCCTCGTGTTTCTCGTGTTTGGTTGTCATGTTGTTCTCGGCGCAGAACTCATTTGATGCCACATCTCCTGCGGTGGTGTGGCAAGGGTAAGCTTGAGAAGATTGAGACTTTTCAACACTCATACATTTGTTTTTGGCATATGTGTTTGAATAATCAGTTCAATTTTTGATTCATATGATGGATGAGTGGCTAAATTATTCTATCTGTTGATTTCACCATCCGTTTGTGAAAGGAAACAATAGTATTTTGATGTATTTTGTAAAAAGGAAACACATATAGAATGGTCCTTGTTCTGGTTCTGCTGAAACATCATGTTGTTCATCAACAGCTTCAGCAGTCCACAACTCTGCCGCTGCAAGAAGCTCTCCATCCTGCTTCTTGTCCTTTCGTTTGCGTTCTCGTTTGTTCTTCGCGTCTTTGATCCTACGAAGCTCTAACTCTCTTTTGTTCCATGGGGATGGTATCCATTTCTCGGCATGAGGCATTGCACTGAAGAGAATAAGCACATATAAAAATCATATATTTACATATATATATATATATATGTGTATAAGTTGTTATATGCTGATGTATTTTAAGTTGCTTCCAACTTTTTTGTATGTATATATGTGTATATATGTAGTGTTGAATACATGCACAGAACTATATAGGTTTTGTGAATGCATGCAATTGTAAACATATGTTTCCACATGTTCCTGTTTACATTGGCTAAACAGGCTTGAGCCAACACTGACTATGAACATTACAAATATATATATATATATTTCTTTTGAAAACCAGCATAAGATCCTAGCGACCCAACCCAAACACTAGCTCCCAGCCAGTAATACTGGCACGACAGATATACTATATATATATATGATGCCAGCCAGCAATGCTGGCACAACAGCTATATTGTATATATTTGCTGTCAGCCAGCAATGCTGGCACGACAGCTATACTATATACATATATACATATTTACACACAGTTGCTTTTACACAGACGCTTTTACACACAAAAGCTTTTACACACAGAAGCTTTTACACACAGAAGCTTTTACACACAGACACTTTTACACACAGACGGTTTTACACACAGGCACTTTTACACACAGACGCTTTTACACACAGAAGCTTTTACACACAGACCCTTTTACACACAGACGCTTTTACACACAGACCCTTTTACACACTTCGCCGGACAACTCGGAAATCGCAATTTTACCTCAGTTTTTGGCGATCAAACCTCATTTCATGCGAAAGGGTCGCGATTGGACAAGAGAAATTGCAATTTCACCTTAGTTTTTGGCGATCGAACCTCGCTTCGCGCGAAAGGGTTGCGATTGGACCCTTGGAATTGCAATTTCACTTCAGTTTTTGGCGATCGAAACTCGCTTCGCGCGAAAGGGTCGCGATTGGACAAGAGAAATTGCAATTTCACCTCAGTTTTTGGCGATCGAACCTCGCTTCGCGCGAAAGGGTTACGATTGGACCCTTGAAATTGCAATTTCACTTCAGTTTTTGGCGATCGAAACTCGTTTCGTGCGAAATGGTTGCGATTGGACCCTTGAAATCGCAATTTTACCTCAGTTTTTGGCGATCGAACCTCATTTCGTGCCAAAGGGTTGCGCCGGACAAGTTGAAATCGCAATTTTACCTCAGTTTTTGGCGATCCAACCTCATTTCGTGCGAAAGGGTTGCGCCGGACAAGTTGAAATCGCAATTTTTTACCTGAGTTTTTCGCGATCGAACCTCATTTCGTCCGAAAGGGTTGCGCGGGACAAGTTGAAATCGCAATTTTACCCCAGTTTTTGGCGATCGAACCTCATTTCGTGCGAAAGGGTTACGTTTCGTGCCATCTCGTTGGCACTGCCCCTGCCCCCGCCTTCAAGAGAGAAATAGAAAAGAAGGAGAGGGCAAGAGGGCAAGAGGGCAAGAGGGCAAGAGGGCAAGAGGGCAAGAGGGCAAGAGGGTAAGAGGGTAAGAGGAGAAGATGTGAGGATGAGAAGATGTGAAGATGAGAAGATGAGAAGATGAGAAGATGTGAAGATGAGAAGATGTGAAGATGAGCTGATGAGAAGATCTGAGGATGAGAAGATGTGAAGATGTGAAGATGTGAAGATGAGAAGATGAGAAGAGGAGAAGATGTGAGGATGAGAAGATGTGTGAGAGGATGTGAAGATGTGAAGATGAGCAGCTGTGAAGATGTGAGGATGTGAAGATGAGAGGATGTGAAGATGAGAGGGTGTGAAGATTTGAAGATGTGAAGATGAGAAGATGTGGGTTTGTGGTTTACTCTTAGACGTAGCAGCAGCATGAGCAGCTACACGCTGGGCAAAACCATCTCGATGTGAAACATGTTAAAACAACCCCGAAATATATGATCCTCAACCCTATCTCTATGAAATTACATCAGATTTTTTAAAAACTTGCTGTGCCAAAGGGTGGTGGCCCAAATCTCTCTTAATTATTTGCCAGAGGCGCGACCCTCTGACCCAGTGAGCAACCAAAACATCGGGGAAAAGTCCTTGGAGCTCCAATGCTCCAATGCGCTGCTGCCAGCGCATGCCAGGATTTGCCAGCTGCCCACCATTCCAAACGAGGGGGTGGATTGGAAGAGATTGGGTTCCAATTGGTTGGTGGGTCAATGATCCCTTTTCACATTCTTTCCTACTAGTGGATTATCCCTTTTCCATCTTGGGTTTACATGATATGATTTGAAGGTTGATTTCAAGGTTTCCATCCTTTAGCCTGAGGGGCACCGGAACATTTTCACACCACCAAAACCTCAAAACCTTAAGGCCTGCTTTGGTTTGGGTCAAGTCCTGCTTGATAAGACAGCTTTATATATATAATATAGCAATAATGATTATTTATTATTACTATTATCATTAGTTTTAGTGTTTTTAGATGTTTGTGATAAATGTTTATATATACTATGGTATTTTAGTTTTTGTATAAATATATAGCGTGTACATATGAATGTAAACACATATGAAAATACAAATAGCATGAACTTTAAGTTTGTGTTGCCAAAAACATGTTGGCTGCATTCACATTGAACCAAAAGTTCATACAAACACATACATAGATTATTAAAGAAACTAGACGACGGTTGGCCCGAGAGCGAAAAAGATGTTTTTCAAGCAGCTCTGAGGATGGTAGTCGTAAAAGATAGTCGGTGAATAGTTGGTGAATTTTATATGAGCTATGGAAGGATATGGTGTGAAAAAGTAAGATTGATTAAGAAGAGGATACTTGGTAAAGGGCATCAGATGACACGTGTCTTGCAACCACAGAGAGAAAGAGGGAGGAGAGAGAGAGAGAGAGAGAGAATGAAAGGGGGGTAGAAAGAAAACATGGAGAAATATAATGTGAGCAACAAAAATGCACAGGAGGCTCGGTACCATGATGCTGCGAACGACATGTGTTATCTCATTTTACTATGGTAATTCCCACACACATTGCGGAAAAAGCTCGGCACCATCATTCCGTGGATGTGAAGAAACGCGACGCTTTTATACAGAGACGCTTTTATACAGAGACGCTTTTACACACAGAAGTTTTTACACACAGACACTTTTACACACAGACGCATTCACACAGAGACGCTTTTACACGCACAAAAACTTTTACACACAGACGCTTTTACACACGGACACTTTAACACACAGACCCTTTTACACACATATTGTTTTACAATGTTTTACACACAGACGCTTTTACACATAAAGGCTTTTACACACAGAAGCTTTTACACACAGAGGCTTTTATGCAAGACCATATCCACAGAAGAAAGATGTCGCGAGTATTGCTTTCAAGGCATCTCTGCATTCACTTGAGGCTCCAACCAAACGATTCTTTTGTAGAAGATGCAGTTGAATGCCGCTCGCACAGACTTGTGCGGTAAAACTCCATGATTGAATTGGAACAATCAGAAAACACAATCTCCAAAGAATGAATGCAACAACATGTCCACAGAAACAGAACATGGAACAATCACAAAACACGATCTCCAAAAAATGCATGCAGGACCATATCCACAGAAGAAAGATGTCGACAGCATTGCTTTAAATGCGTAATATAGACCCTTTTACACACAGAGCCTTTTACACACAGACCCTTTTACACACAGAAGCTTTTACACACAAACCATACACACAGACACTTTTACACACAGAAGCTTTTAAACACAGAAGCTTTTACACGCAGAAGCTTTTACACACAGACTCCTTTACACACAGACGCTTTTACATACAGACCCTTTTTACACACAGACCCTTTTACACACAGAAGCTTTTACACACAGAAGCTTTTACACACAGACCATTTTACACACAGACACTTTTACACACGGAAGCTTTTACACACAGAGGCTTTTACACACAGAATATTTTACACACAGACATTTTTACACACAGAAGCTTTTACACACAGAAGCTTTTACACACAGAAGCTTTTACATACAGACCCTTTTACACACAGAAGCTTTTACACACAGAGGCTTTTACACACAGACCATTTTACACACAGACACTTTTACACACAGAAGCTTTTAAACACAGAAGCTTTTACACACAGAAGCTTTTACACACAGACTCCTTTACACACAGACACTTTTACACACAGACGCTTTACACACAGACGCTTTTACACACAGACGCTTTTACATACAGACCCTTTTACACACAGACCCTTTTTACACACAGAGACCGGACCCGTGAAATCGCAATTTTACCTCAGTTTTTAACGTCCAACGTCCATTTCGTGCGAAAGGGTCGCGATGGACAAAGTAAAATCGCAATTTTTCCTCAGTTTTTGACGTCCAACATCCATTTCGTGCGAAAGGGTTGCCCGTGACACTTCAAAATCGCAATTTTACCTCAGTTTTTGACGTTCGTGCGAAAGGGTTGCGATGGATACATCAAAATCACAATTTTAGCAACAGTTTTTGACGTCCAACGTCCATTTCGTGCGAAAGGGTTGCGATGGATACATCAAAATCGCAATTTTACCTCAATTTTTGACGTCCAACGTCCATTTCGTGCGAAAGGGTTGCGATGGACACCTCAAAATCGCAATTTTACCTCAGTTTTTGACGTCCAACGTCCATTTCGTGCGAAAGGGTTGCGTTTCGTGGCGCTCCGGCGTCACCGCCCCCGCCTTAAGAGAGAGATAGAAAGAAGAGCGAGAGGAGATCTGCAGATGTGAAGGTGTGAAGATGTAGATCTGCACATGTGAGGGTGTGAAGATGTAGATCAGCAGATGTGAGGGTGTGAAGATGTAGATCTGCAGGCGTGAAGGTGTGAAGATGTAGATCAGCAGGCGTGAGGGTGTGAAGATCTAGATCTGCAGATGTGAGGGTGTGAAGATGTAGATCAGCAGATGTGAAGGTGTGAAGA